CTCAAAGGTAAGAAAACTATTTTTGAATCTTATCATTGAAACAATGTCACAGTTATACACGAACAAATTTATTCAATCACACAAACGTGACTAACGACAATACTTAAAATATGTTGGCAGTGGCGAATCTAGGTCCGCCCAGATGGGGAGTAACAAAGCAGATTGCTTCGGGGCATAAAAATTTTGGGGGTCACAAAAATTAAGCCCACAAAAATATAAAGCCACATGTGAGATAAATTGAGAAGGAAAATGTTTGTCGAACAATTTAAGAATGGTGTGCGTGATGAGCTAAAGTGTCATCAACTTCAGATTTCGGAAAATCACACCCAACCAAAAATTTTCCAATTTCCCAGTGTCTGCTTGTTGGCACACGCAGTTAAAGACCGAAATAACCACAACGTTTAACCTCACACGACTGTGTTTATTTACATTCATTGAGACACGCATTGAAGTGAGTTGAATTAGCTGACAGCCGTTTCGGCTAGTGCCATTCTTGGAGCCTAAAACAAATTTATCAATGAATGAATTTGGTAGAACTAATTTGTTAAGTAAGTTAATGTACGTGAAATGCAATTCTATAAAAAAAACGCGTGAGGCTGAACAAGGGAACTGCCATTTGTTGGAGGTAAAATATTAAGCACCCCCTAGTCAACGTTGTCTAGATCCGCCACTGAGTGGATTCAAAAAAAAATTCCATGGCAAAAGAGTTCAGATTTTGAAAAAGTCTAGAACAATTATACAAAAACAAATATTTTTTAATAAAGGTTGTTTTGTGATAAAGCAAATGTCAGGAGTAACAATTGCATCTTCAGCATACATTATTCTGATGTCACACAATCAACTGTGAGTTTCACGTGCTCGGATCACCTCGGAAATGGAACAATAATTTATAAAATATCCGATATCTCATACAAAGGTTGTACTAAATAATGTACTTATTTTCAACATATTATACAACTTCCACTCATTCTTTCAGAAAATAAAAACATTTCAAAAAAAGAATGCATTGCTGAAGAGAACAATGGTAAATGTTAATTTGTTCTAAGTTGATAAAATCCATAATTTCATCATTTCATCATCTCTCAGACAACCAGCCGAAAATAATTAATAAACATAAAAATGTAACAAAGATTATCAGAGAGGGACATGAAATTACTTTAATTTGCAAGGGGAATTTGGTCCTGTTTTGGGATTTTTGTTTGAATTCTTCTAAAAACGTTATTAACATTATTACATTACAATCAAATGTTCTAATTGTATTTTTTTTTGCAGTTTATTAGGAACAAAAGTTATTCAATCACCAATTCTTTCGACGGAGAGAACTTCACTTCCAGCTTGACAATTTTCAATACGTCAGTAAGTAACAGCGGATCATACGTTTGTCATTACGCTAACAAAATGGAGAACGATACAGTTAATATCACCATTGATAGTACGTATGTGCACAAATATTAATTTATTTATTCAAATTTTCTGGTTTGTTTGAATTTGTAGGCGGAGGTTTCAGGCCATGTATCAGCGGCTGCGATAACGAGGCAATCGTGTTAGAAGAAAATGAGGGGTTAAAACTCTCGTGCATTGGACATTTCTTTTTAGTTTGGAAAACTCCAAGAAAAACTGAGGTAGGGCAAATAATTTTTTTCCAAACAAAAAGATTTTAGACAATTTATTTTGCAGGCAAACCAAATATTGGAAATATATAATCCTGAAACAAATGATGTAGAATCCATTTTAACGATTGAAAAAAGTGAAGTAGAGGACACAGGTCTCTATGAATGTGGTTTTCATTCAGATCCTACTCTCAATCACAGCGTGTACGTTACTGTTCTAGGTTGGAGCGTCTGCTGCATCAACTAATTTGTTCAAATTTTAATGACATTAATTTGTTTGAAGGAGCTCGAGAGGCTTACCAATCAGCAGAAGAGCATGCACAAAATAAAAGTGACACTGTTGCAATGAAAAAAAATGGTTATTCATACTTAACTTTTTTTAAAAATGGTGAATAAAACCTTAACAAAATTATTTCAGATTTAACAATGGAAAAGGAACTTGTATACTTGAAGCCATGTGAAAAGTTTACCAAATTAATTAAAAACTCAAGCATTTGTTTGCAGGTGACGAAAACTTTGTAAAAACAGATGTTTTTAGGATTGTAAAAAAACAACTTTTCTTTAATGTTTATAATGCAACTCCGTCAAACGCTGAGCTGCTAACTACCGACAACAGCCGCTGGTTTCTCAATAAACAATTTTTTTAGTCTTTATTATTGCAGCCCTGACATACGCCGTGCCGTTCGCTGTTTAACCATTGACTGCGATCTTCACTTTTCAACGAAACACGTTTGCAAAATTTTGTTTGATATAAAATATGTTAGGCAAGCAAGCGTTTGTTTTATCATAAATCAATCAAATGATCGATTGTGAAGTTTAGGATTATTGCGTTTGTAAAATTATTTTCGATTAAAGTTGGCATTGTGCAAATAATGTTTTGTTGATAGTTACGTCGGCTCTGTTTACAAACTACTCTGTTATACTTCATATACTGATTGGAATATATATTAGTTGAAAAGTAAAGTTTTGATTGTTTAAGAAAGTTGAATTTCTTATTTTTTCCAAACAATAAAAAAAAATTTGAGTAACATTTGTTCATATGAATATTTTCCAATTACAGGAAAGAACCGGCAAAAATGTAACCTTGGTCACCTCTACTACATTCGTAATCGAATTGTTGGATGCAAGTAGCCAAGGAGTTTACATATGCTATGATCTCAATAAAACCGTTGAATATTTTGAAATTATCTTCAGCGGTTTGTTGAAAGAGTTTCAATTGTTTATTCATACATGTTTGACGTTCGAAGTTTTTATGAAATGTTTTAGCATACCACACGGAAAAATGTAAGAAAAATCCAATTAAAAAATTAAACGTGATGGAAAACATAAAGTTTGCAAAAATAGGCAAGAATGTTATCTTGGAAGTCTTTGTGCATTCAGATTACGTTCCAGAAATTGTTTGGAAGAAAGAAAACCAAAAAAATAAAAATTTTAAGCTCATACCTAAATTTTATTCAAAATTTAAAACGAGGTTTATTTCACAAATTTTACAACTTGAACATTTTTATGAATTATTGTCAATTTATTAATGTTTGTGTTAAATTGCCACAGAAATGAGAGATTGAATTGGACCGCTGTTAAATCGATTCTTACCATTTTTGATTTTCAAACCGAAGACTACGGGGAGTACCAAGTTAGTACATTATCAAGTGGGCAACAACTTGAAAAGATCATTCTGACAGGTAACTGAAGAAAACGCTTACATTTCTTAGAGTATATTGATAACATCTACTTACACGTCTCGACACTGTTACTTCATTTCCAGATCAATTAGAACTGAGTTTGAGGAATTCAGAAAATGCTAATTGGTCAATCACCAAACTCTATGAAAATATCTCACTCTACTGTTCTTGGCAGAAAAACATTAAGTTAGGTGATAATTTAGTTTACAAGTTTCAGGCATTTGGAGATAACCAAGCAAAAGAGTATCTTGTCAATGAAGTTTGTCCTTCAACGTACATATGTAAACTTGACCACTTTTATAAATGATTACACTTATATCGAAAATTTTGTTTTTAGCTTTCATTCAAATGATATTATACTAATTTAATAATGTTGATTTCAGTAGATATGATTATTTAAAATTTTCTTAAAAAGTGAAGAAATGAAGTGTATTATTAAATTGAACTGTCTTATAACAATTTGGTAAATTAAAATGCTCAAATGGTATTATTTATCGCTGAGCATAACATCAAACAGTACTTACATCCAGAAATACATTTGCAGTTTAACAATACTAATGCGAGTGTGGAGTTCAAAGTAAGGAACAGTGGTAAAGTTTGGTGCCAGTTACGAACAGAACAACATGAGTCAAATGGTTCTCCATTCAATCTTTACGTGTTTCTCGGTACGATTCAACATTTGTTTATTATGTTGTTGACTCTAGCTAATATAGGCAAAAATAAAAAATGATTTAAAATTCATTTGATCTATTTTTTCATTTCTGTTTAACTACAAAGAGAAAGAAACCAGAGACGTAAATTTTACCTGCAACAAAGAACGAAGTGTCAAATGTAAATGCACTGTTACTAATGGTACAAAGTATTCAAATGTCTCGTTGCACAACATTCTTTCCAATGGATCGTTGAGAAATCTTCAATGTTTGAATAAAAAAAAAGGATTTAACACGATTTTTTGCGAAATATCAGAGGAGAAGTTTGAAGAAAATAGTATTTTTTGCCGAGTTATTTCAGGAAGCAACCAGCATTTTTTTGTAAATTATTCAATAGTGGAAGGTTTAAAATGTTATTACATCAAATGTTCAATGATGGTTAACAATTGGTTGATGTATTTTTCTCAGTTGACGCAATGCTTCCTAAAAACCAGCTGTTTGAGATCCAGCAAATCATAATAGCCATCATTGCGGTCACTTTGGTTATTTGTGTGGCAGTCAATGTTATATTCATCAGCAAGTGGAGGAAGAGGAACAAAAGACACACTGTAAACTCTCTCAATGTTTTTAATTTACCACCATTCACATTGAACATGTACTTTTCACAGATCTTCAAAAATCCGAACAAAAGAGCCTCAGATTATTACAGCGCAGACATTCCCCACGAGTCGTTCAGTTACGATAAGAAGTTTGAGATCCCACTGAAATCTCTGGAAATACGTAAATTCAGTTTTTTTTTTTATTCCACCATTAATTTTTAAATTCAGCAGATACGTGAATGATGGAATGATGTTTTTATGAACGTTGGAAAGAATCGGTCCTGGGCGATGGTGCCTTTGGAGTGGTTAAGAAGGCCAAACTGCACGGCACAACTGGTCAGAACGTCAAAGGCCCAATAACGACTGTAGCTGTTAAAATGGTGAAAGGTATTTTATGAAGTGAATGTTAAGTGATGAAATTATTATCTTTTTTCAAATGTGGAATGTACGTGAAACGCAGACATCTACAACGAAGATCAGGTCTGTGCACTCTACTCAGAACTCTTGCTGATGGCTTACATTGGCTCACACATCAACATTGTCAATCTCGTTGGAGCGGTCACCAAAAGTTACAAGCAAGGCACTCACTTTCATCCTCCTTGCTTCATGATACGTTCAATTATTTCTATTGAATCAATATTATTTATAAATCTTTCTTATGTCTATCAATGCTGTTTTGAACAAAATTTTGAAAGGAATTTTTTACGTGGTGATGGAATATTGTTGCAACGGTTGTTTGAGAAACTACCTAATCGAGAATAAAAAAAATTACGATCGGTTGAAATCAAACAAAAGGAAACAAAATAGAAAACAGTCAGATCAAATTGTTCTGAAGAAAATTAATAGTCAGAAATCTGAGGAGTCAGATGGTGGCTGTGCGTTTCGTAGAGGAAGACTTGAACGATCAGGTACAGTACAGTCGGAAGTGTTGGCTGAAGAAGATTCGAAACATGTTGACGCAGAAGATTATGAGAACAACTACCCTGGCATTGATTACAGATACTCCAGAAACTTTGAAGATGATGAAGAGGAGTGCAATGACAGCTCATGTAAGAAGTTACTTGATTATAATTCAGTGGCTCTAGAGGACCTCATTTCATATGCCTATCAAATTGCAAGGGGCATGGATTATCTGGCCTCTATGAAAGTTTGGAATATTGAAATTCGTGCAACTTGAATATTTTTTATTTATATAACTTAATCATAAATACTTTGTAAATGAAGATGATCCACAGAGATCTGGCAGCCAGAAACGTTTTACTCGCTGAAGACAATGTGGCTAAAATTTGTGATTTTGGAATGGCGAAGGATTGCTACAAATACGACGTCTACACAAAACAATCACAGGTTACATATAGTTCACTAATTAATAAACTACATTTCTTATTGTCTAATTGTTATCTTCGTCACTTCATCGTCGCTAAGCAGGTTGTATTGCACCATTAACCATTCATCACAACCAGCGGTTGGGGCTTATTTTCTACGAGTTATCTTCTTTAACAACGTTAATTTGTGACCATAAGCGAATTTCATTGAGGCTTTTATAAATTTATTCGGCTTTTGCTTTTCAAAAATTTTTAATCATATAATCACGACTTAATTACTTTTTTAATTACTTGTTGTTAGAAGCACAACCACATATCTGAGGTTCATCCATTAGTGTTAGGTTTATATTGATACATGCAAAGCGAGTATGCCGTGCATCTCAAACTCATTTGAACTTTAGATTTTTAACACAATTTTTTGATTGCACGGTCAGTAAGTACTGTTAATACATAAATACAGTACAGTTAATGAATTTGTTAATAAGTAAATAAATAGATGACTAAATGTTTGTGTGCAGGGCCGTTATTAATATTTTGTAACTTGTTCGATTGAAAATATAATTGAATCTCAAGATTCATTCTTTCAAGAAATAATTTATTAATTTAATAATAATTTTCTGGAATTTTTGTTCCGCTCACGTTATTTTTCGTCATTTTGTTATTTTTTCGTTTGTTGATTGGTTGAAGAATTTTTTAAATAACTCCAACTTCCTCTTCCATTGTCTGATTCCGATCGAGTTGAAATTTCGCGAACCTACCCATTTTTGAAGTCAAGGAATGTTTGCTTTATTTGTGGCTCAGGGAATGTTTGTCAATCTGTTTGTCTGTGTGTGTATGCGCGTGTTTATGTGCCTGTGTGTGTGTGTTTTCACGAAATCTACAGGCAATGGTCCCCGTAAAATGGCTGGCAATTGAATCTCTCACACACAAGATCTACTCAACAAAATCTGACGTGTGAGAATTCGTTTCTTCAGTTATGATCGTGTATCGTTTTCTATAAGACCGCTTTCTTCATTGGTTTTAATGATTTTCTTTAATGTTTTAAAATATTTTCAACTATAATAATAAAATATAAATTTAAGTTTTTAAAATTAGTACTATTTATTGAATGGGCAGTTGGTCATTCGGAGTTCTGATGTGGGAGCTCTTTACATTTGGTTGGTTGCATCTCATAATTCGAAGTTTGCATTATTTTGAAATTGAATATTGAAACAACCAAGGAGCGGATCCGTATCATGGCGTGCAGATGAACGATCGATTCGTTGAGAGGCTGAGGAATGGCATGAGGCTGAACCAGCCAGATACCTGTCCAGATGAAATGTTGGTCAAGTTCTTTCTCGTCTGCTCGTTCAGATGCATATTAATTTTTATTCAATGAAAATCTTGATTGTTGTTTCAAATTTGAAGATACGAATTGATGAAAACTTGTTGGAATGACGATCCTGCTGGTCGACCGAACTTTGCAAACCTCGTCAAGTCCTTCGAAGATTTACTTCAAAACGAGGTTCCATATAATTTGTATATTTTTAAACTCTAAAAAAATATTAGATTTTTTTTTAAATGGTTAAAGCTCCATTGTATTTGAAAATTAAAATATCATAAAAAAGAGATAGTCCGCTTCATTTTAATTTCATCTGTTTGTCACGAATAATTCAATGGTTTATGTTTATTCAAATTTGTTGTTGTATACATTTTTAAACATTTTTCGTATGCCCTTTAATTTTCAAATCAAAGAACTTTAAAATCAAATCAGTTTTTCAAATCAAACTTTCAAACGAAATAAAAAAAACTTCAAAGAACAGAACCCCGGATGAAATACTTTACTCTATTTATAATAAAAATTCAAAACAGATGAACAAAAAATAATTTAATTCATCGTTATTGTTGATAACAAAGTCGCTGATATTAATTGAAATTTCTCGTTTATTTTGATGCAGGGCTGGTACATGGACCTCTCGGCCATGAAATAACATTCTAATCATTTCGAAAGAGTCTTAATGTCTATCACGGTAAGGTCGGTGATCCACTTTTTTGTATCTTTGCAGTAAGTTTTGTACGTTAACTAAATGGTAGAAAAAAATTTGCTTTGATTGTTGTTGCAGATTTTTCAAAAACTCCCACTACAGTGTAAAAGCCTTTCGGCCAGTATTTAATTCCGATTTCTTTACCACTTGAATACTGAAGTTTTTAATTGCGATGTTATGTACTATAACTACTTAAACACACATGTACACACACACACACATACACACACACACACACACACACACATATATATATATATATATATATATATCTAAAATTTACAACACTCTCCTTACTTTTACCTCCCTACTCTTAAAACTAATTCTTATTATATTAGCCCCTTAATTATTATGAGGAATTTATGGAATAAACTACCTACAACCACTAGGTCTATTACTTCCAAAACCCTTTTTAAATCCAGCTTTTCTTAAGTTATTTTGCATGACTTTTTTTCGACTAACTACTCTCTCTCTCTCTCTCTCTCTCTCTCTCTCTCTCTCTCTCTCTCTCTCTCTCTCTCTCTCTCTCTCTATCAGTTTTTGTCTAAATGCGTTTTTAATTTCTACAATTTTTACTTTAGCCAATTTTCAACTAAATGTATTTGCACATGTATTTTCATTTACTTTAAATCTATCTGCATTATTTATATGTCCTTTCCTTTTTTTAACAATTTTTTATCTATGTATGTATTCTTTCCATTCTAATCATTTCATTTTCATCATTCCCATTACTGTTTTTGCTTCAATTGAATTGAATTATCTCCCACTTAATTTCATATTTTGTTAACATTTGTTTTCATTTTGCCACTTTTCTCTTTTTTACTATCAGCATTCTACTCTCATCCTCCAAGGATCAATCTATAGTGTGCATCCCATCCCTCATCTTCACAGTCTAAGTGAGACTCCTTCGTCGATTTTTCATTTCATTATGTCACTCATAAACGTTTCTCTATTCTGCTTTTATATGCTATTCATCCTCCAGGGTCATATGCTAGAATATGTAAATTTATATATGTAAATTTTGTATATGTATATATATTTATAACGTTTTATGTACTTACGGAGTCCGTACGAGTTAGTAATAACTTCTGGATCCCAGTTCTTTTAAATAAATAAATAATAAATATATATATATATATACATATATATATAATATATATATATATTATTGATGTTAATATTTTTACGTTTAGACATTTACATACATTATTACATTCATATAGATAAACACATATATTTTAATAAATTGCGTGTGTATATATAAATGGCAGATTAACTACTTAGCATGTTAAAAACGCTCTAGATATGTGACAAGGTCTTAACCGACTGAGCTAATAAGATGGGATGATGAGCTAATAAAATGAGACGATAGTGTATGAAATGGGTTGAAGTTATGTTTATAAAATGTGCCAGTTATCTGGTTACTAATGTTTAAAAACTTTTATAAATTAATTTTTTTCCGCCGAATGAGTTGATGTTTATAAAATATGCCAGTTATCTGTTACTAAGGTTTAAAAACTGTTATGAATTAATTTTTTTGATTAACACGTCTGTCTGCTTCGAACGAACAAGCAATTTGATATAAAGTTTGATATTATTGGTGATTTCAAAAGTTACTGTTTAATATGTGACGTTGTTGCTTTCAATGTATTCTTAATGTGTTTCGATTTTGTTTCGATGCGTTTGTGTTTGTTCTGCCTTCCTTTTCTCCATTTGTGGTTCCTCATTAATAAACTATAAAAAAGGAAATAAATTTTTCAATTTTTGTTTTTAAAGAATTATTAGATGTATAAAATTATATCTATATAAATAAATAAAATGTGTGTGTTCATTAATTCATTTATGTTCATAAACATATATACCAGAGTAGATTTGATATAGTATAACTGAAAATGAATCTCTGAACAAAGACAAACTCCAGCGTAGACTTAAACGGTGACATTGTCTGTTTGAGCGTGTAAACATTATCATTTTTATTATCATTTATATTATGGTAGTAGTAGTAGTAGTACTAGTACATGGTGGTGGTAGTATAAACAGTAGTAGTGTTAGTACTAGTCGTAGCAGCAGTAGTAACAGTAGTAGTAGTAGTAGTAGTAGTAGTAGTAGTAGTAGTAGTAGTAGTAGCAGTAGTAACAGAAGTAGTAGTAGTAGTATTAACAGAAGTAGTAGTAGTAGCAGTAGTAACAGAAGTAGAAGTAGTAGTAGTAGTAGTAGTAGTAGTAGTAGTAGTAGCAGTAGTAACAGAAGTAGTAGCAGTAGTAGTAGTAGCAGCAGTAGTAACAGTAGTAGTAGTAGTAACAGCAGCAGCAGCAGCAGAAGTATTTTTACATTTATAATTATTTAAAGTAAAACTTACCTGAAGTTAAACAAGAACATTGACATCGTGAACCATACCTAATGCCATTTTTCATTGGCTGACACGAAAATCAAATATACCGTTAGCTCTGTCAAACGCTATTTTATCTATCCATATAATTAAACTTTCTGGCCACAAAAGCTGCACCATCCACACCACACCACACGACGCACATACACACTATGTATGCACGTGCAAGTACCGCATCGTACGCGTATGATGGTCTTCAAGCTTCGGACTGGCAGTATTCGAACTATGCCATTGCGTAATAGCAGCCTGAGGTATGGCACTCCTACCAACTAAGCTAATAAAACGGGATGATGTTAAATAAGTTGATACTGCATGAAATGAAATATATATATATATTTCATTTCATGCAGTATATATATATATATATATATATATATATATATATAATTTGTCAAACTTGACTTTCAGCCTAATGATGGTAAGTTATTTACAAAATTTATTTCATCGTAGGAAAATGCGATGAGACTAAAAAGAACAATAAATCTGAATTCATTCTTAATTATGTATGCTGATTAATTCAGTAAAATTTCTGTTTAAAATTCAACATACACAGTGTATGTGTGTGTGTGTGTGTGTGTGTGTGTGTGTGTGTGTGTGTGTGTGTGTGTGTGTGTGTGTGTGTGTGTGTGTTTTAATCGATCTCTCCCTCTGACTAAATTTTTTGATAGTTTTGTCGTTAAGTGTTGTTGTGCTGTTGAAACAAATTCATGGGGATTGTCAAAAGTGTTTGTATGCTTTGTATGCACCAAAAATTCTTTACATAATAAATCAACATACCTCCTAGTTCCTCAACAATCTCATCATACTTTTGAAGTATCTGTACAAAAAGGTGCCATGAAAATTTAATATTAAAAAGATAAAAAAGAATAATATTAATAATGATATATAATACTGCAAATAAAAATACGATTGTTTATGGTTATACATATGTCCAAATATACTGACATGTCACCTTGCATGTAATCAATAGCTGCCATCCTTCAATAGCTTGCATGTAATCAATAGCGGGCATCCTTACTGTCAGCGACTGTCTGATATTTTCAAAGAAAGAACTTTTTGCGCAGCTAAACAAATATTACTATGTAGTATTAATCGAAGTACTCGAGCGAAACTTCATTTTCTTTTCAATTCTCGTCTATACAAGTTTGCTTAATGACAGGTACGCTGAGGATTGCAATCGGCCTGAGTTGACACACAAATTTACATGTGTGTATTGTGCGTGTGTGTGTGTGAGTGTGTGTGTGTGTGTGTGTTTATGCAGGCTTATATTGCTATAATATCTTCTTCTGTTTTCAGTCAAAAGATTATTCTAATATAAACTCTGAAGCTCTAACATCGTATCAACATATTACTGCCATCATTTTGAATATTATGCAGACCCAGCTAGATACATGCATATCAACCAACCATCGAAATTACTAGAAAGTCATTTATCCAAGTATTATGAATCTAAACATTTGCTATCTTACCTATAAAATGTTTTTTGAAATGGTTGATAAAATGAAATACCTACTTTTCAGCTTAAGTTTTACTTTTTAATAAAAAATATTTACCAAAATTTTTTAAATCTGTCTTATAATATATGTATATTACATATATATTAACGAAATAAATTTCAATGAAGCTACTAACTTGATGAGTTTTTTAAACTCAAGTTTTTTTTAAATTTAAAAACCCTATAACAGTGCTTTTCTAAAACATGTGCATGTGCACTATGTGTAGTCAGCTTCCCAGCTTCAGCAAATAAACCGAATTCTAAAGACAACATAATACGATTAATATAATATTTGGATTTGTTCGCTAACGTCTGGTCTACGTGTTAACAAAAAATTTACCGTCGCTCTGAGTTGTGAGTTGATTAAAAACAGAACGATCACTCATATTTCCGCTCTGTAGCTGGATCAGATTGAGACATCGTTGTTTCAATGTGTGTGTGTGAGTGTGTGTGCGTGCGTGTGTGTATGTGTATGTGTGTGTGTGTGTGTGTGTGTGTGTGTGTGTGTGCGCGCGCGTGACTTACTCGACTTTTTACATTGTATTAAAACCTAATCATAAATATGAATTTTTTTTTTTCATAAACAATCTGTTGTTTGTGTCCAAGAACTTCCAAAGTTTCCCGCCGGTCAGATGAATGCTGTGGTAATGTCTAAAGTTCAGAAGTACACGTATACGTGCATTATTTTTATATATGTATTCTGCTGATTCTGATTTTCTAGAGATAGAGGCATGAAATGTTGACTGATTGAGCAAATAAACATAAGATGTAAAATCACATATATATGATTTTCATAAAGATGTGCGTGTTCGTGTTCGTGGTGTGTGTGTGAGTGAGTGTGTAAGTGTGTGTGCGCGTGTGTTGTGTTCGATGACTGACAAAAACAAGGGATTTAAAAAATTTTAATAGTAAAATTACCACACCAAATTTTGTTTCATATTGAAGATAAATAATATAATACGTTTTACATGCGTTCAGTTCAAGCAGCAGAATAATGGACAAATAAAAAAAATTAAACTCAAAATGTACCTACTCAGACTTTTGTGTGAAATGGGAAAGATTCAAGTTCGCTGCAGTTTTTGATGACATTTTCACGAATATTAGCAAAAAGTTTATTGAATTTGTGACTGTATTGTCTGGAGAGGCATGACTTCAGGTACGAATCATCTCCAAATAAATATTTGGTAATGTTGTACGGCCTGTAAACGTCTTCGCCTAAGAATTTGTCTTTAATCAATGGTAAAACAACTCCAGCCTCGAATTTTCTTCTAAATGACGAACCTTCGATGTCTGAAACGTACGATATGTTGTCCTGTTTGAATTCTGCATATAGGAAGACGTCTACAAATGGAAAATTGTAGAGTTTATATTTTGCAGTATATTGTCCAAGATCGTAAAGTTTGTATATTCCATTTTCGTGATAGTTCATCTTCGGTTCAGTTAAATAGAACATCTTTTTAGTAGAATTTTTTAAAAGTTCGACTTCATCTTGAAAGGCCTCCATAAACGTTTTAAGATTTTCTTTGGAAACGATAACATCTATGTCATCATCCCACGGAATGGGTAGTTTGTTGTGTCGAGTGAGTCCAACCAACGACCCACCACACAAGTAGAACGTGGTGTTGGATATTTTGGCGACATGTACAAAAAACCTGAACAGTTCAACCATGGTCAGCAATTCATCTCTCTGCAGTTTTGGCAGGAAGTACACGAGTTCATCCTCACATGCATTCATGTCGGTGTCTTTAAGGTACTGCCTATCCATTTGCAGTGGGGTCGTCAGTGTGAGCATTTTAAAATGTAGTCCTTTCAATTCAGTGAACTCGACAATATTATGCTTCAGCAAACTTTCGAAACATTCATACGTTTTGTCATTTTGAATGTGATATATAACTGAATGATTGACATTTTGCTTGCCAAAAATATCCAAATAATTAACATTTTGTAACGCAAACTTATAGAAATATATCAATAATAATGAAACAAAAAGGGCAGAACCGAAAATTATTTTTTGCATTTGTGTAAGTTAGAATAGAAGGGATGCAACGGCATATTCAATTGACAAGTTTTGGTCTACGTAGTGCTCCGTAGTGCTCTGCATACATTCAGCATATATATATATATATATATATATAATATATATATACATACACATATATATATATATACGTGTGTGTGTGTGTGTGTGTGTGTGTGTGTGTGTGTGTGTGTGTGTGTGTGTGTGTGTGTGTGTGTGTATTTTTTTTATTTAATGCGAAAAATTTGTTTATTCTCTAAAAGATTTAGAAATATGTTCATTCAACTTAACTCGAACGGATAGTATAGTATATCACACTCATTCACACTTTGATTAATAATAAAATAAAAAACAGTATACAATTAATTAACATTGATAACAGCTTCTTTAAGTGATAGTTTGAAGGCTTTTAAGTTACTCATATCAATAACGTCATGATATTATCAGGACGTTATTGTGCAGATTATATTCTCTCACACATATCAAATATATATATGTAGTGTTTGTGTGTGTATGTGTGTGTGTGGTGTGTGTGTATGTGACTGTGTGGGCCAAAACATCAAAATCTAAAACGTGGGCATTTAATGTTTCAAAACCTTTAGTTACCCTAACTCAGTCAGCAGTGATTGAAAACAAAACTTGAGCTACTTGACAAAATTAAAACAAAAGCAAGAAATAACGAAAGAAATTGTGAAACATTTTGTGAAACAAACATGAAGCTTCTTATTGTAGAAAATGGCTAAGTAAAATGCTCATAATTCTAATTCTATTTATTGTAATTCTACATTCATTTAAAAGCGCGCACATGATCAATTCATTCAATTACACGCATTCGATTATGTAAATGATTTTTAAATAAATACCATAGTGTTCCTATGTGTAAATTTTCCAACTAGATGCACTGCACATGTGTATGCGCAAGCTTACATGGTAAGCTACCAGCTATACAGCTATATCTTTCAAATGGTTGATGAATATTGTATGTATGGAAAAATATATTAAAAATTATAAAAATGTAAGTTCAGTTTAAGTACAATACTAACAGAATTAAAAATATATATGTGTGCGTGTGCGTGTCTGTGTGGTTTGTGTGTGTATGTGTGTGTGTGTGTCTGTGTCTGTGTGCGTGTGTCTGTGTCTGTGTGTGTTTAAAGTTTACAAAATCGAAAATTTTGTAAAATACCTTTTGCAGAAATTACATGTTTTCCCTTGATTTAATTCTCATTGAATAATATAACCTCCGATTGAACTGACGAAAGCATGAAAATAGTTTGCACTTTTGGAGTGCTTTCTTGGAATCAGGCGACGATGCCGTGGAAGGGAATGTCTTCTTGAAATTTGCTCCCTAAGAATTTTAATAAAAAATATTTACTTCTTTATTTACATTTATGAAACTAAAAATATTTTGCAAATTTTAGCCATGAGAACTTTAGTGTAAATATTACTAATGTAAATCAACATACTTTCGAGTGCTTCTGTCAAGTATAAAGCAGTTTGTTATACGGACATTTTCCCTTCTCTTTAATATACATTACGCCATCAATAATAAATACATTGTCTCTCAAATTTAACGCTAATTAAAAGCTATATACAAATTGTATGATATTGTTCTCTTTTACTGCACAAAACATTATTTTTTAAAATGAACATGTTCCGATGTTCACATTTGCTTATTTTCACAACCTGCACCCTCCTGTTGTCCCGCGGTCGTCATCCCGTTACTGTGCATTGCTGGCCCGCGGCACCACCCACCAACACATCTAACCCTACAACTGATGGTCACGTTTTCTCTATCTCTGGACAACATGAAGTGTCAGGTCCGAATTTGTCGTTGTTGTTTTCAGTCACATTTTGTTGGTCATTTGTTTGTTAGAAGCATGGATGGTTAGATGTTCTGAAGTTAAGAAGCGTTGAATGGAATGAACTAAAGCGATCACCTTAGTGGAGTATTTGGGAGATTTTTATATATTTTTTAAGTTTTTTACATGGTTTATTTAATCGGTTGTGTCAAATTTCTAATTCCTTTTAACAGCAATTATCATTCAAATACTTACGTACGAGACTGCTGACCGGTTATATTTTTGCAATACTCTTCGCTTCACTGAAGTTTTGTTGTTTGTTTTAAAATTAGTTAGCCATCAAAGTTAAAATAACTTATCAAAATAATTGTATATACATGTTCTTATAATTAATTCACACAAAAAAAATTTTTATAAACATTTTTTTAATAAACATTTTTAGAGACATTATTTTTCGTTACTTCACCTAGGTTCAGATCCTGTGCTGAAGAATGGTTTCAGCCCAACGCAAACGCAAGGACCACACAAATCTGAGAACCAACAGTGTTCACCCACAAACATTTTTTCCTTCACAACAACATCACCATTGGTGGAAACGATTCTAAATGATAAAGTTGATCGTTTTGGTTATTCGACTGAAAATGTCACCAGAACTACATCAACCATAGCAATAACTGAAAATGTATTCGGTGTGAGTTCCATTGGTGTTTTTAATGAAAACGCTACTACTGCTGCTGCTACTGTAGTAACTCCTCTTACTATTACTACTTTTTCTCTTTTTACTACCACTACTAATGTTAACGTTACCACTACTACTGCATTTTCAGCAGTTGTGAATATTTTTTCTTCTACTATTGCCAACTATGGTATTTTTCCTAATGCTACAGTTGATGAAATTGATGTTAATCCTATCATAGTAACAACAACAACATTGACTACATCAACAGCAGCAACAACGACATTGACTACATCAGCAGCAACATGGTCAACTTCAACAACAAAATTAACGTCAACAACACTAGCAAACAAAAACTCGTCAACCAAAAATGATCTTGACCATTCATCATCTTTGATGAAATTTCACACGAATTATTTGCCAACCACCAACAAATTGACAACTACGACGTCCAACGACACCGAAATTGAAGCCATCGTGAGTTGACGCCTGTGTTTTTTCAAATTCATCTTCAATAAGACTCTCTTAAATTATTTAAAATTAGTTTTAATGCAATTAATTTTTGCAGATTTTTAGATAAAGCGTGATAAAAATTAATTAAACACATAGAAAAAAAATATTCTTCAGGAATATTTGATCAAATTTGGTTACATCAAGCGGGAAAGTGATGTGGTTGACGGTCCTTTAAGTTTTTCGGGTTTGTCAGAACCCATCAAGGAGATGCAGAAGTTTGCTGGACTCGACGTAACTGGTATTTTTTGGCACAGCAAATAACATAATGTTAAATTCATTTAATTCACACAACGTGTATGTTTGCAGCAGTTTTTCTAACATTCCCTTATAAGATGCTTGTTAACAAGCAGCAATTTTCAGGTGCTGGACAACGCATCTTAAATGATTTAATGTACTTTAAAAATCTTTTGTTCTTTCATCCCATTTCATAGTTGTTGGGGAAAACCCTAACTAATTACCTAACTCCCCTCCGTGATCTGCTATTAGATACACCGCACTTGCACACGCACGCTTATATTCCTCAAAAACACTCCTAACACAAATGACAGGACTACTCGACGAACCGACCTTGAACTTAATGCACAAGCCCAGGTGCCACCTTCCCGATAGGATCCAAGCAATCAGGGTCAAAAGATTTGACACAAAGGGTGTGTTGCTGAATTTCTTTTCTACGTAAAATAGGAACCTGAAAGTTACTTTTTTTAAACAGTCATAGTGGCAATTGTGGCAGTGAATGATTACACATAATGTAGAGGAATTTTTTAAATCAATTTCTGTTGATTACTACCAACAGCTAGGTGGTCTCGGAACAACTTGAGTTACTTCATTCAGAATTACCCGAGCAACTCAAACGACATGCAGGACTCCAAGCTGGTCAGTGAAACAATTGAAACTGCATTTAGGGTTAGTAGTTGAGTGTTTATTTAATTGAAGGAAAGATTACATTGAATTAAAACGCAAATAAAAATTATTACTTAACCTTGAAGAATCACCTTAAATTTCTACAATAAATAATGAAAATACTATTTAAACAAGTTAAAAAGAAAAAGATTTTTCATCTAATAGTCAATTTACTCGTTTGTATAATAAATAACATTTAATAGCCCCTTACTAGTTGCTAATAGTTTAAAAAAAACACCTCAAGCTGTTGGTATAAAACCAAATAAGGCCACCATTGCCTGAGATTGCGTGAGATAGGATGAGTAATTTATTTGCCGGAGCATTTATTAGCTTCTTCCATTCGATTCATTAGTTTAATTTAATTTAGTCCGTTTAACAACTTTCTGCATTTTCGTGAATGCATTGCAAATAAGGACTGGAGCTCAGTGGCCAACGTAATCCTTCGGAGAACTTACAGCAACAAGAGTGCAGATATCCGTGTAAAGTTTGCGAGGTCGGATCATTCTGATGGCTACCCATTTGACGGCAAGGGTGTGGTCCTGGCCCATGCCTTCTTCCCGGAAGATGGCAGGCTCCATTTTGATGATGACGAGAAGTGGTCGTACGATGGTGTTGGAGGTGGGTGTGGGTTGTTAAAAAAAGGTCAACTTAATTACCATTCTGGTGTCTGGTGGTTTTTTGTTCTATTAAAAATAAAAAATTATATTAATATTTTTTTAATTTTCTTTTTACATTCGTGTTTTAATTTAATTCACCAATAAATTAAATTTAACTAAAAAATGTTAATGTATCTCAAGGAATCTGAAAACTTCCACGGGTATTGTCATGTTGACATTTAAACATCAAACCTCATAAGCTCATAAGACCAATTTAGATATTTATTTGATCTTTTTGAAAAATTTAAAACTCCGCTACAAAACATAAGAATCAGTAAAACAGATAATGGCGATTAACAACGAAGTTAAGTCTTTACCAATATAACTAATATAAAATATATATGAGAACCAGTTTTATCAACATCAAATGTTTAAGGACCAATATAATTAACATAAAGTATGTAAGGACCAATATAATTAACATAAAATATGCAAGGGCCGAACCTCCGTCAAGTAGCCACACACGAGATTGGCCACATACTCGGACTGGCACACAGTAACGTTAAAGGATCGATCATGTTTCCTTACTATTCCTACCTGCCCAAGTTCAAATTAAGCGCTGATGATATCAAAAGAGCTATATATCTATATGGTTTGTTAAATGCTCTTTGAGCTAAATTTCCGTAGTTTGAAGAATTATATGAATATAAATGATTTTTTAGTTAGAATTATTTTAATTTCATTTTACCATAATTATTTTTATGTGATAATCATTTTTATGCCTTGCAGGAGTTAAGCATCCTGTTTATAGAAAGGCAACCACCAGACGTTTGGATCGTTGGAACTGGTGGTGAGACTCCTTATTTCAACTCTCATTCAACAGTCAACGTAGATGAGAACGAATCAGGTAGTGCTTCCAAACAAACAACACGATCTTCTTATCCGTAAAAATGATTTTACACTTTATGAACTGCACAATGAGCATTTTCTTCAACATATCGACCGAATCCATTTTTATCGTTTTCATGTTTCCCAGAAAATTTCAAATGTAATTGCCAAGTAAATAAATTTTAATATAAATGAAATCAACAAACTCTGTTCCATTCATGGTATTTGTGTTTGATGAAACAGCGCATTTGATGATCATTATTTGACTGCATGAAAATTTACAATGTAGTTTTTCGAGTATATCATGATTTGATTTTTATCATGATTTGATTTTTATCATGTTATATCGTCAATAGAAATATTTATTTTCAATTTTTAAAAAAATTGTCTCTTGTACTTGTATCTCAAATTTAACGACAAAGAATGCAAAATTAAACACTTAATGCTGGTCGGTGGACATCCGTTTTTTTTCGTGCTACTCCGCTTAAAACAAAGCCATGCCTAATAATTCGGCACTTCCGAAGTCCAAAAGATATAAGTCACTCAGCAAAAGATCACCCTTACTCCGTGTTGAAGTTATTTTTAAAAAATCTTAACTGACTTTCATCTTATGTTTTTAACTTTTTTATTCAAATCAAAATGTAGAGTTTAATTACTGCTTGAACGAGTCTGTATTATTTAATTACGTAGGATTTGATGAGGAGTTAGCTCAGCAGGCAGATATGTCATCTCTCGAGTAGCTCTACCGTTAGGACCTAATTCGATTACTGTCTCTGTCTGATCAAAACTCAAAAACTATCATATGCGATGTGGCACGAAAGCTTATCTAACTATAATTTCAGGAGGATATGTAACCAAGTACTTGCATATCAAGGTTCCATAATAATGATGAAAAAAAATGTCTACCCATGCAACCTGTCTGCCTCGTCTCAGAAGAGTACAAGAGATTTTTTACTATTTTTCTACATTCAAATTTGTCCTTTTCTCTACTGAGTACTTTAGTAGATAAAAGTAATTTAACAATAAATATTGATTTGATTTTGATTCTAAGTAAATGGATTTTCTGTCTTATATGATTTATGATGTAATATTGAAATATTAATTTAAGTTATAATGTCTTTGCTAAATTATTAAAAGTGCATTCAAAATCTGTGAAATTTTCAATATCGTTCGTTTGGGTTGATTGATCATTCCGTAGTCGAAATCATAAATTAAATAATAAAAAAAAAACAGGACAATAACAGTTTGATCGTGTGGCTCGGGGTACGTTCAGTTAATTAATCTAACAATCAAACATTAAATTAGTATTAGGTAGTTAGTGTTAGTTTAGTTGAATATTTTAGTTTTATTTTAGTAGTTAGTAGGCTTTGAATGGTTAGATCACATCACAAGCGTTAGCTATAAATTTGGTAGTCAGTCAGTACAAAACTAGCAAATATTAAAAGTTAACTTAATTAAAAAACAGAAACAAAAATGTTACATGATGAAAATGATGAGGAGGATGACATTCCAAGATTGTCTGCAGAAACCCTGGCTGCCTTGCAGGAGTTTTATTTGGAAGAAGAACAAAGGAACATGGAGGAGGATGCTGCCATCTCCTCAACAAACACAAACATGCCAAAAGAAGATTGGGTTCGTTCAGTTCAAGTTTTATTCATTATATAATTTAAAAAATTGAAATAATTAAATTTTATTTAAATTTTAGATGGATTTTTTAAGCTTAGAGTTAAAAAATATTTAAATTCTTTATCACTATTGATTTTGTTTGAATATTTGTTAGCTTGAACTCTAATATTAGTTAAATGTTAATTTTATTTATTGAAAAAAGCAATTGAGTCAATTCTGGTATGATGAAGGCACGGCAAGAACCTTAGCAAATGAATGCATAAGTTCCGTTGGAGAGAATGGTAGGTAGGTGATGTTAGTTTACATTATTTGTCAGTGATGCTCATTTTGTTGTTGGTCAAACTTATTTTCATTCTCAATTCTCGACCACTTTACTCTTTCATTTTAATGCAGGGTAGCTTTTATATCCAGTCCAACAATTTTTGCAAAGTTAAAAGAGTTACACCCAGATATCAGCAGCAATTCAGTTTGTTTGGAGTATGACAGAAGATTCTCAAGCATATTTGGGTTGAACTACATATTTTATGATTACAATGAGCCTCTGAACCTGCCTGAAAGTTTAAAGTCTTCTTTTGATTTGGTGGTCCTTGATCCTCCATTTCTATCTGAGGAATGTCTTGAAAAGTCAGCCAAGACGGCTCAGTATCTTACCAATGGAAAGATTCTGTTGTGCACAGGTTTAATGTTATTAATGTGTTATGTCATTAACATTAACTGAGTTTTTCATTTGTTTTATGTTAATATTCATTTATTTAATTTTTCTACTAAAAACCAAAGGAACAGTGATGGAAGATGCAGCATACAGATTATTGAATGTGAAAAGACTTAAATTTACGCCTAAACATTCTAACAATTTGTCAAACGAATTTTCCTGTTTTAGCAATTTTGATACAAAACTATTGTGAAAAAAGTTCACTTTATTTTCAAAAATCCATATCCATCTCATGTTCAATCGAATATTGATTCTTTATTTAGCAACCAGGACATCTTGTCATTGTTTTTTTTGAGAAGCAGATTGAATGCAAACATGATGAAATGTAGTTTTAAATTATTTTTAATTAAAATTTTTAAATTAATTTAAATAGATTTCAAATATGTTTAAGCACTATTTATATACCATTTATCATTTATTGTTCTTTGTTGAAATGATTGATAGCTGTTATTTTAAAAATGTCAGCATTTTGCTGAGAAAGCTTTCCTTGTTTTTATAGTTTTGAAGTGAAGAAGTACAATTTTTGAGTATTTAACACATTTTAAAAGATACTCTTAACCCTGGCAAATAAAAAAATTATGATCATGCTTTGCCTAAGTTTTTAATTTTGATTTTTTGAAAGATTACATAACCTTAACTACAAAAATGAATAGACGAAAAAGTTATTACAATTGCGCATTTTAATATTTGTGTCCGCCAATTTCGTTTTTGTCGGCGATTGTAGACCGCTGTCTTAAATTGTGCGACCGACTGAAGTTACCAGTGGATGCAGCTTCGCACGTGTCTGTACCCAAGATTTCTTTTTCAAGGTAGGATAACAGAAGGTCTGCCTGTTCGTTCCTCCAATCACTGAGGATATCTTTGTTGTCCTTTAAATTGCAACTTTTGTTCTTACTATATGCTTCACTTTTGGTATTGTCATTTGGATTTCTTTTTTTAGCTTGGTCAGTTTCGGCTTTTTTATTGCTTGAATATGCTGGTTGTGAAACTTCATATGTCACGTTTTCGACATTGCAGTCACTACTGATTCCAACGCTGATGTCCATATTTGTTTCGTTGAGTTCCAGTTCATTTGTGGTTACGCGTTTGCGTTGATACTGTTTCAGATATTTTAATTTTTTCACTCCATCATCCCAATCATGCAGGCTTATAGATTCTACCAGTTTTAATCTTTTAGTAACATCGTACATAGGTCTGAATATCGACGATGAATTTTTCTGAACATTCCTTTGCGGTTTTATGCGTGAATTACGGTAAGAACATAACTTTGGTTTGACTTGTGTCCATATTTTACCAACATACAATTCAGGAACGTCATTTCCTTTGTCTATTTCCTTCCGTATTTTGGTGACGCAAGCAGCGATACGGCATTCTTCTTTTAATTCCCGCTCCATATCCTTCCAAAATTCATCACGATCCGTCTCATCGTATTTCATTTTTGTCTTAAAACTTGTTTCTAAAGGATTATCGCGAAAATTATCGCGAGAATTGACGCCAGGGTCAACAGATGTGTTTAATCCGTGCACATCACCACCGTCGCTTTCACAAACCTCGGGGTGCTCTGCATTTCCAGACGTAACTAATTCATCAACTTTTGAGGCTTCCAATTTGGAAAGATTTAAATCTTTTTTAACAACTTTTCGTCGCCTACATACATGTTTATATTATTGAAAATTATTTTTACATAAAAGGAAATCATTGAATGAATGAATGCTCTTAAATAAACCCACCAGTGTACGAAGGCGTATATTATTCCGACTATTGGCAGAATAATGCAAACTGGAGTTAACAAATATGGAAGTATTCTATACCGACCATCATATGCAACTACATCGATTTATCAGAATTACTTAATTGATGTATGCCCAAGCCAACAAACCAGACTACAAAAAAAATACGGTACGTACTTATTTCATTTTCACAGATATCACCGTAAAAAGCTTGTAAACATCTGAAGGTTTTATTTAAAATATAGACTGAGTATAAAAATGTGTTGTAGCATTAAAACTTTAAGAAAAATAAAGTATTAATTTACATGCATGAATACTTTGGGATCATCATGCCTCTCTGTATCTTGCTGCACGTTCCATTGTTTCTGCATTTGATAATGTCGTCCTCCCATTTGGAACATGGCTCTTGTACATCATTCATTTTCAAGTCCGGATTTTGAAATTCAGTTTGTTCTTCACAATAAAAAGTTACGTTCAAAAATTATGATTCTTTATAGACTTTATTTAGATTTTTAACTTGCCCCGACATTTTTGATCATCTTTCAATTTATCATTGCATTTCTTTTTTCAATAAGTAACATTTGTGCAATAAAAAATGCTCGGAAGTTTTACACTTAGGAGAAAATTCAGCGGAAAAAATACGTTAATTTGAAAACATCATTATATAGAAGTATACGTGGATAAGTTTTGGAAAGCCGCTTACCAACCTTCTTCAAATGAATCAGTGCCTATATTAAAATTCAATTATATAATACATGTAACTGATTAAGTTTTTCAATTTATTTTCATTTATTTAATTGTTATAATTAATCTTACTATTAACAAATTAGTTATAATAATACAAAATTAATTAATTTGTTATATAATTACAAATTTGATCTTGATAACTAATAAGTTGGTTATAATATTTTAACTTGATTGTAATACTGAACTGTGAAAGAACAGTGCTAACCCTCTCAGCAAGTCAACTAACCAATCAAACCACCTTTCGTTCTCTGGCACAAGTCTCCGGTGAAATTGTTGTGACACCTGAAAAATTTTTCGTTTAGATAAATAATAAAGACGATGAAAGAAGCATTCAATACAGATTTTAGATTTTAATTTCAAATTAATTTTAATTCAATTAAAACAATTTTAGAATATAGACAGAAGTATAATGAATAATGAAAACCTGCAGACGAGCGACCTTCTGTAGGGCACGTCAACAACTTTGAAACACGTTCCACCGTTTGAACAATTCTGTATCCTCACTTCAGATTCATCACACAGCTGGGTTGAAAAAAGAAAAAAATTGAATATACAAAATAATGAAATATTTCATTTTGTATCTCAGAAAATCACAAGGACAGATTTTCAACTTTGACTGTTGGTGAAAGTTGAAAAAAGTGTAAATTTTGAAAATGGCCCCGGCTCTCTTATATTCGCCACTGCAGTAAACCAGCTGATAAAAGTGTTTAAATTATATTCGGTGTATGACGTTTCATTATTCTACTAAATTTTAAACTGAATTGTAAACAATAATCGTTATCAGCATTGAGACAGAAAATTATTAATAAGCAGGTATTCATTTTTGGTAAGAGGGAATAAATAACCTGTCCATATTTGTTGATCCCTTCTTCGTCAACTGGGACGTTGAACGTCGGGTCCTTTATGCGTCTGCGGTACTCAAGTTCCTCGTCCTATTTAGAGGTGAAGACATTGTAGTGTAGAATATTATTTAGTCTGTATTTTAGACCTGCAAGCGAACAGCTTACGTAGTTCATGGGACCCATCACTGTAGCTGCCACCATTGTCAAAACAAGAAGCTGATGAAGCATCGTCAGTCGCTAATCAATTTGTTTACGTTTAAGGACCACAATGCAACGTCATAACTGTTTAGGTGAAAAGTTTACATAAAAATTATTACGAGAAACTCAAAAACAACGTTTGACGCGTGATTTCGTTTTACTGGTTCAATGGTTAAAAGAACATCATTTTAGGCATGTCACTATGGCCACAGTTCTACCTTTATTTAACATTGTTTTCATTTTATCACAGCAGTGACAGTGGATTTTATGAATATAAAATTAATAATTAAATAAATGCTAGTGCTGTTTGAATGAATTGAGTAATATATTATTATCTTTTAAGCTCATCATTACGAAACTGCACCCCAATAAATGATACAGATTAGCCTACTGGTCATGGATTTGGTTTTTAGTTTTGGTATTGTCGTAATTTCGTTAACTTTAACAGAGTGAAACTTTTCTCCAACATTAAACATTTGCCGACATGTCAAGGTAGGTGCAAGTTTTGTGCCTAAGTTCATATTTACAGCCAATCATTGTTTTGTTTTCAGTAGCATATATTATAAAATCCAAAAAATGCATATAAAATATGAAATTATGTAATGCACTCCAACACAAAACACATAAGGTTGTTTTAAATAAATTTCCTTTGAAGGCAAACGATTTAAATGAATTTATTGAAAAAAAACCATCATCAGAGCCAGTTTTGAAATGAAATTTAAACCATTTTTTTAAAACTAGCTTGAATTCAAACATCGAGCGTGTGTAAAAATCTGAAGGCCATTAATCAGTTAAAACAGTGAAATTAAAAAAAATAAAAATAACCTCCCCGTCGGGGAATTGAACCCCGGTCTCCCGCGTGACAGGCGGGGATACTTACCACTATACTAACGAGGACCACACAGACCGTTATTTAAAACTTAATATCGATCAATTTGCAAGATTCAAGCTGCGCAGTACATAACAATGTTACATTATACTACTGATACAAAAGAATTATACATCACCGTTATTTTTGTTATTACTATTATTTACATAATAAGAATTAATTATATATAAATTACAAATATAAATTAAGTATCTTATATTATATTATCAAAGCAAAGAAAATAAAATACAATTGCATGAGAAATCCATCATAAAAAAATTATTGTCTGCGCAAGTAGTAGTAGGTAGCATTGCACACACGCACGCACACACACGCACACACACATACACACACACGTAAACACAGACACACAACAAACGACAATAACGAAAAACAATACAAAAAAAATGATGAAAACATACCATTTTGTTTCCTGATAAATAACAAAATTACCACGTGCCTCGCACTAAGAATGAATGTGACGTAACAACACGTCAATGAATGTGACGTCATCCTACCCGCCAACGTCATCGATATGGAAAATGACTCAATTAATTAAACGCACTACTAAAAATAAGCAAAAACGGTGCCCCCAGTGAGGTTTGAACTCACGACCGCTGGTTTACAAGACCAGCGCTCTACCACTGAGCTATAGAGGCCGGCGATCTGTGCCATACATATTTTCAAACGGTTTCTTGTTAATTCTTACGTGTGACAATTTTACCAAAATTTTGCCTAATTTTCGCTCCGGATTAATTTGTTATTTTTTCTCTATTTAGACCGACAACATAATGACGAAGAAGTAGTTAGACTTCGTTATTATTCCCACAAAAAGGTTGAGTTAACTATCAATCAACTGTAGTTTAGTGTTTAGTTTATTTATTTTTATTAACTTGACATATATATGTTGTTTGCAGAACTTCAAACTTTGAAGTTCAAAGTCACAATTTTTGTGACTTTTAAATTTTATTAAATAATAAATTTATTATTTTATAACATTGAATTATTATTTTTGGCAAACAAAATAGTGAATATTTTCTATTTTCTTTGGTTAGTTCAGTATGTTAAATTTTTTATTTTCATCAATCATTTGAAAGGCACTTTATTAAAATATTAAAAAATATAATCAGTATTGTGTATCAGTATGTACGTGGGGAGTTTATAAACATTACTGAATGTGACGTCACGCGAAATTGAAATGACGTCATGTAGATGTGAGGATGACGAAACGAAGAATAACAAAAATAAATTCGTTACCAGTTTATTGTGCATGGATGATTGTGGTATTATTATATTATATATCTCTGGATGACCTAATGAGAAAGTGGTTTGCGTGACCAAATTCCAAACGTCAAACTGACAAAAGAAGAAATATGTAGAGAGACACAAGAACGTCAATAATTTTCCATTAATTTATTCTGCTTATCAATCCAAGGATAGATAAGATCACCGGTCAGACATTTTTTCACGAAACTTTTCACTGAAGATGACATTGAAGATGACATTGAAGATGATGAAGAAGCTGAGGCAGATGATGGAGGAAATGAAGATTGTGACGGTGCTGGTGATGGGGATGAAGTTGGGGAGGAGGAGAATGATGAGGAAAGTTTGATGAGCTCCAAGAGGTTGAGTGGCTGCAACTGCAATCGTTAATTAAAAAAAAACAATATTGCTAACGTGGTTATTGTCTAGAAATGTTTTTAAAACCATGCCAGCCACTGGACAGATCAATGAAACTTATAACTTTCATAGTTACACAAGTTATATTTTATCACTTATATATCTCACATTTTAAAAATGTTAAAAACTTTGTGAATATTTTCAACGGCTGTAATTGTTTTAAATGTAACATTGTCATCATTAACTGGCAACAAAGTTTGAACATAGAAGAAGATGAAGAACTCAGTACAAACCATTAGAGCAATCAAACTTAAGGTACCACTAAAAATATTTCATTCGCATGAAACCGTATAACCAATAACTGATTCAATAAACTAACGTTCAGTTTGAAGCATAGAGGTTTGTAAGAACGCACCTGAACTTTAGTTAAGCCTGTGTTGTATGGTGTTATATCATGTTATATCATGTTATATCAGTTTATATCATGTTATATCATGTTATATCATGATACATCGTAACATACCACGTTATATCATGTAATAACGCTGATGGGTTATTGTGTTGTTGCGTAAGCATTGACAGCGTTCCAGAAAAAAAAAATTCTGGTCGCAATGATAACTAAATGTAACAACAACTCAAACCAACGCCAACAACGGTATAATCATCAACCGCAACATCAGAAACAACACCACTAACAAACACACATACACACACAAACAAACAAACAAACATATACACAAACAAACAAAAAAACACGCACACACACACACAAACACAAGGACGGACAACAAAACATTGACAAACCAGCCCACATTTCAACTTGCATCCAGTGAAACACCTGACGTAGAGCCAGTAGATGTGAACATTGTTGAGGAGGACGATGCACGAACTCATCAGCACATGCAACATCAGAGTCGTCAGCCGGAGCTGTTAGAAGTTTATCACCACCACCATCATCATCAACAACATCATCATCAATTCATCATCAACAACATCATCATCACCACCACAACCATCATCAACAACATCATCATCATCATCACCACAACCATCATCATTACCATCATCATCATCATCATCATCATCACCACAACCACCATCATCATCACCACCATCATCAACAGCAGCAGCAGCAACCTACCGCAAGAAAGACAATGTAGAATACGAGAGTGGTAGGCAGGATGAAAAAGAGAATGGTGAAAATGAGGGTGCCGACAAACATGGCGTCCATCACGTGCTCCACACTGTCCACCCTCAACTTCAACCTGTTGAACTTCTTGCCCATGAACAACCTGCACAGTGGCTTCAGGGCTACCAACTGCAGACTGTACAATCTGATTGGTCAGTTGGTTGTGGTGGCTGATTGGTTGGCTGGCCGATGATTGGTTCCTTTGTTGGTTGGCCCGTAAAGCATAGAAATAATAGAACAAACAAACTTGGCAGCATAGACATAGAAGCAGTAGACGTGGAGGGTCATGATGGAGAGGAGGTCCCTCATGATGCAGCACTGCATGGTGAGCCCGAAGATGCCACTGAGGACGCATGCCCGCAAGATGGAGGAGAGGACGGGGATGAGCAGGGCCAGGTAGGCTGGTCAGGTGCGGTCAATATGATTATTTTGTAGGATGAACAGCAGTCAAACAACATTTCAGTGATCAGAAAAAGTGTAACAGCAAGAATGCAACAGTAGCAATAACCGTACAATAGTAACAATGACGATGATAATTATGACAACACACCCTTCCAGAGGAAGACGTGATAGAGGAAGAAATGAGATAGGAAATTGGTGAGGGGTCCATTCAACTTGAGGCCAGCTGGATTGTTCTGCAGCCAGAAGATCAGCTGTTCCAGTCTGTCACCTATCCACTGAAAATGTTAGGCGTCATTTCATTGGTTGCTAACATTTTTTATTTTTATTTCATTGGTTGTTTAATTAAAATACAAACATCTAATTGGGAAATTTGGTTAGATCGGCTCATTTGATGAACTGTTTGGCTTGCATGCAATTTTTCGATTGGTTGCTTTGGTTAAATGTGATTGGGTGACTGATTTGTCTAGTGTTATTGTTTAATTTACTTAAGCACATCATCAGTACACCAGCACAAACACCACCATGACGCGACCTCCGCAGCCGATAAGAGAATCGATGCCAGCTCATCCAACTGGTCAGGCTGCAGGAAGAGGTTCATGATGACCACGCCCACAAAAGTGTCAATCAATGTGAGACACAGGAAGTTTTTAAACCTTGGATAATATACACAACAGAAATTAACGAAAATTTATAAAGAGGAACAAGTGAAAAGAACTGACGATGCAAACGAGCAATGAATGCAAGACAACCAATGTCTAAAATGAGAAACACACCTCAACTGGTTGAACCTTGTTGGATGATGATTGACAGATGTGACAAGATTGTGGACCTCGCTATATTTCTGTAGAACGTGCTTCACAATGGATGGCAGGCTGATGACTGGAATGCTTGGAAAACTTGAATATTTAATGAATTGATTACGTACATCAGATTCATCTTGATAAAAATAATAAATTCTAAATTTATTTTAAATTCTAATTAAAAACAAAAGCTAGTTTTAAAACTTTAATAAATTTGAAATATTCAAATAACAATAAACTTATAGAAATTATATATATATATATGTATTTACAATATATATATATATATATATATATATATATATATATAGAGAGAGAGAGAGAGAGAGAGAGAGAGAAAGAAAACCTAAAACAAATGGTAATTTAACAACTAAGTAGATCCAGGAGTCACCTAATTGAAGGAATAAAGAAGTCGGTGAATGAGATCACATAAAGGAAGATGATGTAAGAAAAGTTGGCAACAAATCCAAATTCTCTGAATTTCATTTCACAATCATCCTCCATAATGTGTGATGATGATAACTTCTTATTTAAATATTTCACGGCATGTTGACTCAGCACAAGTGCATGATGAATGATGGAGATGCAGCTATCTGGTTCCGACATCACCCGGCTATCAATCAAACATGAACAGGCAAACTCATTTCTATCATAAAACACCAAAGCACTAATGTTAGTGACAGCTGAACTCGTTGAAAGTTTGTCATGATCATCATCATCACAGTATAGTCGTATTGTAAAATGGTTATTATTATTTTCTTCATTTTTGTTAACAGTCATTGTGATGAAAGGAGCAATTTTTAGTTTTCTATTCTGTTTTTTAAGCACGAGAGTCCCAACGACATTTTTTTGTTCTTCATCACGTGCAACCACCACCCCCACAATTTCTAACCTACATGATGATGGTGATGATGTTGTTGGTTCGTTTTCGTTTGTCCGATTTTGCGATGATAATGGATGATGATGATGATGATGTTCATCTAATAACTCGTTAACATCATCAAAAGAACCGTTAATTACGTCAGTGATGCAAATTGTTTTGCCATCTCTAACTCCAAGCAACAAATAATCATCTGTCAATTTTTCTAGATCAAGGTTTTTCGTGATTTCTTCAAAACAAAAAACACGGAACATTTTGTTTATGTCATCTAAGTTCACATTTCAACATCTATTTAAATATTAAAAGGTCATAAAAGTAAACTGCGATTTTAATATAGAATTTGAGCTATAGCACTTAAATTTATGACAACGTTGATGGGGTTATTGACACGCATTTATATCATCAAACAATAAACTTAAATTGAAGATATTTGTTGTATAAAGATTTTTTTGGATTTTTCAAAGAGAACTTTCCAATCTTAATTTTCTATTATATGCTGTCCAGTACCCTGAATGGCATTTAGAATTTCAAATACAATGCGATTTATACAGGGCGCCACTCAACAAATACATTTAAAAAAAGGAACAATGACCTAGTGGCATAGGAACAGATAGTGCGTTATTATGTGGTGCAAATGCAGTTGCATTGCGAATCACAAGTAGCGCAAAAGTACTAGCGTTAGAGTTTTAATAATGAAAAAGGAGTTGCCAAATAAACTGAGTCACCTGCCACTTTGTTCTTATGTAAATGTACTCAATCATATCGAAGAACGTCCTAAAGAATGACTTCATCATATCGGGTATTTTCAGCGTTTAAGCAGTTTGTTTGAGTGAGCGAGTTTCTGGGACCAAAAATACGAAATAAAACGAAAATATCCAAGTCGCTATTCCCACCTTGGACCATGTATTGTATAAGTAGAAATATATGGTGGAGAGGAGTGCAACGGACGTACGTGTGTAAGTGCGTGGGCCGAACGAGTATTGTATATGGAATATTAATACGTTTTATAAGTCATTTTCGTCGAAGTAGGTAGGTTAGGGAGACAAGGCACAAATTGGGAGAAACTAAACACCGAGACCAGCGGCGAAACTGAAACAAACGCCACGTTCGATGTTACTATAATTATTATTGATTTATATCGCGTCCTATGAATAGCATCAGAGACGCTTGGATGACTTTTGTTGTTTCCGTACGCCTGGATAAACAAAAATAACTTTAATCGTTTCGTAAATTGATTGTATCTTTTAATTCATCTGAAAAATTTACACATCAAACTGGGAAATTTTATTCATCTGGTAAAACACATGCAATATTAAAAATTTCAAAAAATGCTACACCATGCACACATGAATGGATGAATAACGTTAATAACGTCGAGAATTTAATTTATAAGTCATTAAACTAAAATCCAAAATAAAAGTTTAATTAAAAAATTAATTTCAACTTTGAAAACCCTAATTTGCGAATAAAAATGAAGCTTTAAGCTTTAACAATGAAATAAATTAATCAATAACAACAAGCATCAATCCAACTGTAATAAAAACAATGATGTATTTTGTATTTGTATATAGTGTATGCACGTATCGTTGTATAAGTGTACAGTACATATATGTTATAAATGTATGCATGTATATATGTTTGTTCGTTTGTATGTATGTATGCGTGTACTTAGGTATGTATGTATGTATGTATCTATGTATGTATCAATGTATGTATCTATCTATGTACGAACGTATATATCTATCTATGTATGTATGTATGTATGCATGAATGTATGCATGTGTATTATAAAAACTTATATATACATATATACACACATATGTACGCATATGAATCAAGAATTGTAGGTGGTCGATGTAACCCTGCCTCCATGACCCGTCCAGTTTGTGTGCACGAACTTATCGGGCTGCTCTAATGTCGAGTAGGTGTGTGCCCCGAAGTAATCTCTTAATCCCTGTGTGTGCGTGCGTGTGTGTGTGTGTGTGTGAGTGGCTTGTGTGTAGCCATATAGGTAACCATCGTTATCGTCTTTATTCGTGTATGTTTCCAATATAGCATAGCGAAAATGACGACAACAACGACGACAACAGCAGCGAAACAAACGTCAACACAAAACCATCCATCTCCTCTGCGATCCTCTTGAATAAAGCGCTATATAAATGCAAATAAAGCAGATCACCAAACGTCATCATCATCATCATCATCATCATTGATCAATGACGTCATCCAGCATCAACGCAACTTCGTTTTTTTGGCGTTTGAGGAAATAAACTGGTGAAAAAAACATCACCACAACCACCACCAGCAACACCATGTCGCCACCCACCTGCAGTAGATTGGCAGGCAGCCAGCCGCTCCTGTATCCATCGTAGAACGAGAGAGCAGACGAGAAAGCAGGAACTGGGATGCCGCTTAGGCAAGCACGTGACACGACTTGGCGCCAAGAATGCTGCGTTGGTCGGTTGGTTGGTCATTGGATTGTTGAGTGGATGGATAGTCGGTATGATTGATTCGTTTGGTTAAATGGTTGATTGATTCATTAATCGATGAATGGTCGGTCGGTCGGTTGTTTGATTGATTGATTGTTGTGGTTAATTTAGTTGAATGAATGATCATTTGACTAACTGGATGACTGAGCGATTAATTGGTTAATTAATTAATTAATTGGATGGCTTGACAATTAGTTAGATGGTTGAAAGTTTGTTTAGGTGGTTGATCAATCGATTGACTGATTAGATGTTTGATTGATGTGTTGGTCAGAAGACAACCTGACAATCGAGGACGGCATTCTTGAAGAAGTCATCCACTAGGAGGTTCATCAAATGTGGATTCATGTCGTAAGCTCTCTTAATCTCGCCCAAGAACTTGCTGTGTGGTTATATGTTGTTGTGGATGTGTGTGATTTGAATGTGTGTATGTTGTGTGGATGTGTGTGTGTATGTGTTGTTGTGTGTGCTGTTGTGTGGATGTGTGTCTTGTTGTGTGGATGTGTGTGTTGTTGTGTAAATGTGTGTGTTGTTGTGTGTGTGTGTTGTTTTGTGGATGTGTGTGTTGCTGTTGCGTATCTGTCAAAAAAACTAGTTTGTCCATACATTAACGCATTTTCCATTCTCTGTCCATACATTCATTTGTTAATTCATTTATTTATTCGCTGGTTCGTTTATTTGTTCGTTCAATGAAACGTTCATCCAATCACACACCCCTTCAATCACATCGGTTCATCCAGCACCATCCATCAACCACCATCAATGAATAATGCAAGGAGACTCATGTCAGCAAGTCATCATGACGCCAGCAACCTCCTAATGATGCATCCACCCCTCCACATCAGGGCAATCCCTCCGTAGTTCAAGTCCCACTGTAGCGATTCACTCACCTGGTGGTGATGGCGGTGGTGGGGTGACGATGGAGATGACGCAGATGGTGCATTAGGATGGCGATGAGAATGCAATTATTATCATTTCTTTGTAAACAAACGAACGAACGAACGCAATTAAACGCGGGAAACACAAAGAGAGTTAGGTGAAACAAGGGGCTACAAAAGTAGAACAGAGCAGCCACTGAAACCACAAACAAACCTGCCTCATGAGCATGAAGCCCTGAGCGTAGGAGATGATCTTCGAAGCGTACAAGGCCTGTGGGGGCGACACATTCGTTCGTTGTTGTCGTCGTCGTTATAACCGTTCGCAACATCATTTCAAAGAAACAACCAAACAACCAGCCAAACAACCCAACAACAAACCAACCAACCAAACAACAAACCAAACAACAAACCAACCAATCAACCAGCCAACCAATCAACCAGCCAACCAAACAACAAACCAACCAAACAACAAACCAACCAATCAACCAGCCAACCATCCGACAACAAACCAATCAACCAACCATCCGACCAACTAACCAACCAACAAACCAATCAATTATTCATCTTACCTTCTTGACATGTCCAATGAACTCCTTCTTATCAACCTGCACTCCTTTACTCACCCCCTCGTCCATTGGACCCCCAAAATGTTTCTCCGCCACCATCCTCTCCTTCTTGAGGGCTGACAAGGCTCGTGCGAAGACCGCCTCACCTTCAATCAATCAACCAATCAATCAACCAATCAATCAACCAATCAATCAATCAACCAACCAATCAATCAATCAATCAATCAATCACACAACTAACTAATCAATGTGAGAGGTATGCCATATTCGAGTGAAGAGATAACTGTCCATTTTCCTGTACCTTTCTATAATCAATCAAGTAGTCATCCAATCAACCAACCAATCAATCAATCATTCTATCAACCAATCAATCATTCTATCAACCAACAAATTAATCTATTAATCAATCAATCATTAGCCAATTAATTAATCAATCAAATTAACCAATCTATTAAGCCAGTAATCAAGCAGTCAATCAATAAACACACACAGGCATGCAAACAAAAAAGAGTTGCACACAACCTCCGGCTGCCCAGAAAGTAGCATCACAAACCAAGTTTCATAATACTGATTCATTAATCAATTCATTCATAAATTAACCAATCAATCCATTAATTCATCAATAAATTCATCAGCACTTCAACCAATCACACCCATCTACCCATAAACACATCCATCCATCCATTCATCCATCCATCAAAACATCCATCCGTCCGACAACACATCCCTCCATCCATCCATCCATCGACTCAAGACTGACCTGGCCAGCCTGATCATTGATACTGTCCAGTACATAGACACCTTCCTCATTCTTGTACCTGTATAACAAGCAGAATCGGTATGATATTCAATAAGTATAACTAATTATTATTTAAATTGGATCATTCAATTATCAAAATGTAATTTATATATTATTATTATTATTTAAATTGGATCATTCAATGATCAAAATGTAATTCACATAGCGCCCCATCTAAAGCAGCATTGGAAGCGGCTCACAGCCACCTTACATAAGCGAATGTCGACGAGCAGACATATTATGTAATACATTTTTCTTCTGTGTGTACAACTTCTCTCGATGCAATTTCTAACATTCATCAACAACAAGCTTACAGTGCATGAGAACATGCACCACACAAATTGCACGTGATAGGCGCGGGTCTCTTTGCATTCAAACCGGTTCACCGCAACATCAGTGCTAGGCATCTTAACCGTTACACCATGGCGCAACCACCGCCCAATCCGCATTTGAAACCATACAAGAGGCGTTAACTTTAGAATTACCCCTTTGGAAGGGGAAAAAAAGTTGATGAGGATGCAATGGAAGCAAACGACTGACCTCAAGATGTCCCTGGTTATCTCAATGAGGAAGGATTCCAGTTCGGAATTGTTCCAATCCTCAAATACCTGATCCAGGTGATGATGATCGAGGTGATGATGATGACGACGACAATTGAAGAGAAGATGGTGATACAGGTGATGGTGAGTGAAGATTAAAGTGAAGATGGTGATACGAGTGGTGGTTAGAATTGAAGTGACAATGGTGACACAGGTGATGATGATGAGTGAAGTGACGATGGTGAGGATAATAATGATGATGCTATAATGATCGTCACGAGTAAATCAATCAGTCAATTTATTAAAGGAAAAAAATATTTTTCGATTTTTAAAAATAAATAAATTATGACAAAATAAATTATAATTATAATAAAATAAATTAACAAATAAAAACTCTGTTATGATGAAATGAATGGACCAATCCGAACGCATCAAACCTGGGCTAGTTCTTCATTGGTCAGTTTTAGCTCTGCCTTCAATAGATGATAGGCCTCACAGATCAGCTGCATGTCACCATACTCAATGCCATTGTGGACCATTTTCACAAAATGTCCCGCACCGCCTGATCCAACCTATCAATCAATCAATCAATCAATCAATCAATCAATCAATCAATCAATCAATCCATCAATCAATCATCTAACTAACCAAAACCTCAAAACCAGCAAATTTTGGTACAAATACTAAATAATGATCACAACAACAACAACGACAACAACAACAAAACCGACCCAATCACAGCAGGGTTGCTGGTCGACCTTTGCCGCGACATTTTGGAAGATATCCTTGATGTGTGGCCTGCGTGTGTGTGTTTGTGTGTGTGAGTGTTGAGGTTAAGTGACGTAACGAAGGCATGATGACGTAATGCAGCAGCCAGCTCTGACATCATCATCAACATCACCACACTATCAAGGTAACATCATACCATTAACACGTTAACGTGATGTAACAATCATCATCATCGTCGTTATCATCATCACATCACCAACAACATCATCACCATCGTCATCATCATCACACCATCAACACTACTACAACACTACCATTTTTGTGGGCACAACAAAATTGACAACAAGTAACCATCACTCACAAACAACAACATGCTAACAACAACAGCTCATCAAAAACATCCCCAACAACAACACTACAACAACAGCAGCTCATCACCACCTGACAATCAATGAACAACAAGCAGAACCAACCAAGCTTGCTGGTTCCCTCCAGGCATGAGTGATGGTCCAAACCTGGCCCCCTCCTCTCCCCCACTGACCCCTGACCCCACGTACAAAATACCCCTTTCTGACAAAGACTTGGTCCTCCTCTGGAATGTGGTCGAGAATAACACCATGCAAGATGTACAAAACACAGGGCAACGATGGAAAAATGGTACACATCACAGCAGAGAAGCATGTCAGTATCAGGAAAATGACGTAGTAGTAAAAGATAGATGCAAAGTTGAACCAGATACCAGATTCTACACTTCCAACCTAACACAACCAGACACACACACACACACGCACACAAGCAGTCACGTACACATACACACAAACCATACATCGGTATCTGTATACTCTGAGTTGCCCCCATCAATGATGATGTCACCAGGACCCAGCAAGGGCACCTTTGAAGGTCAGATTAGGGGTTAAAAATAAATTAGTGATAGTTGCTTGATAGGCATGTGGATGGGAATGAAAAAATACATGCATACACAATCGTCACCAGGACCCAGCAAGGGCACCTTTGAAAGTTAGGTTAGGGGTTAAAAATAAATTAGTGATAGTTGCTTGATAGGCATGTGGATGGGAAAATAAAAATACATGCATACACAATAACTTGAATCATGATGATTCGGAATAGAAATATATGCTGGCCATCCACGCAGCCTCAACTATCCAACCAACCTACCAACCATCAAACCAACCAACCTACCAATCAACTAACCAACCAACCAACCATCTAACCAACCAACCATCCAGCCAACCAAACTACCAACCAATCAATCAACTGACCAATCAGCCAACCATTCAACCGACCAACCAACCAATTTATCAATGAACTCGTCAACAGGCTTGCCCGCTTTCACCAGCAACATCACTCGTTTTGGCAACTTCAACTTCGAGACAAACTCTTCCAAGCTGTGAGCCCCGACAATCTTCGTGCCCCTCGCCTCATTGGCCAGAAACTCATCCACCTTCTGCACCGTTCTGTTGTACACACACACCTACACGCAATCACAACGTCATCATCGTTGTTAAATAGTAAATCGTATATATTCATCACACACTCACACACACACAAACACCATCATCATCATCATCAAGTACATCATCATTATAACATCATGATCACCATCATCAACATCAACAACAACAAACACATCATCAACAACAACAACAACAAACATATCACCACAAAGTATGAACGTAACACTAACAATGAATCCATGATCGTTCATGTTGAGGACGAGGTTCTGCCCCATCACAGCCAGGCCAATCAACCCGATATCCGCCCTGTCAGGTTTTTCCCCATTGGAGATGGTGGTGGTGGTAGTGTCCATATTTATTTATAATAATAATCTAATTACTATTATAATTTTATAATTTATTAGCATTAATATAATTTTATAATTTATATTATAACTATATTAAAAAAAAATGTATTTTATTTTATTTAATTTTATAAGTAAAACAAGTTTATTCTGATTAATATCATTTATAACATTGCAATGAAAAATTTCAAATAAGTACATTTAAAATTGTTTCATACGAGCGAGGTGATACAATCACATTGCATATGGCAAAGAAAAACCATCACATGTAAATGGCAAAAGAAAAGTTCTGCCAAAAAACAGTTAAATTTAAGAATCTGAAGAGACAGGCAGGCAACTAACACTTGCCCTGCTGTGGCCATGGTTCCTGGAGGTTAGTAGGTCGTTGTAGGTAGTTGTTTGTGATTACTTAGTAGTTGTTGCAGTTGTTGTTGTTATAACTGTTGTTGTTGTTACTGTTGCAGTTATCAAGGTTGGTCACTAAGAAATTAAATATTTAATTAGTGTTTAATGTTGTTAAAGGTTAAAGGCTAAATTTATATATATATATATATATATATATATATATATATATATATATATATAACCATAAGATAATCAAATAAACTACAGACAAGTTAACCATTTAGAAGCTCAACTTATTAATCACTCAGCAACTCTCCACCAACCAGTCAGCCAGCATCCAACCAACCAACTAATCAATCAGTTAATCCTCAAATCACATATTTATTAATAAGTGAACAATTGTACTAGGCAGCCACTCAACTAACCAACTGATTGGTTAAATAACCATCCAACTAGTTCTAATTTAAACAATTAACTATTAGACCATCCAAACCCACTCAGAAGCTGCAAATCAATCGGCCCTTTAACCTAAAAATCAACCAACCAGACTTTCTTTCTACTGAATAAACAACAAACAACCATGCAACCAATACAAAACCAACTCTAGCAAGAAAGTAAAATTAGTAAATCAAACAATTTAATTAATAAGAATAAATTAGATCAATCAGTCCAACCAACCAATCAGCCTACTGGCCTCTATTTTTACTACAATCAGCCAACCATCCAACCAATCAACCTATCTAATCAACCAATCTAATCAACCTATCTAATCAACCTACCATCAAACCAACAAATCTACCTATCTAACTAATCAACCAACCAATCAATCAATCAATCAACCAACCAACCAACCTAATCAATCAGCACGTGGACATTGGACAGACTCAAATCACCAAAAGTAAGTCGAGGTGAGCGAACGTCGTCGAAGTTACCAGCAGTGTTTTTGGTTAAAAGTTAGCGTGTAATAAAAATTATCAAGCGTTCAATTTGAAATTTGTTGAACGTAAAAAATCGATCAAATTTAAAATTTATTAAAAAACTATTAGTAATTTTTTTTGTTTTTAAATATTAAATTATTTTTAATTTTGAATAAATTTTAAATATTTTTTAAATAAATGTATCTACTAAACTTTACTTTTAATCACTTAAGTTTGCTTTTAGTGTCTTTAAAAAAATAAACAAAGACTAATTTTTACAACACAGCCAGTGTCATATAAATAAGTGATTAGGTATTTAATTTACCACCTAACAATATAAATAAATTAATTGTAAACTCAAACTTTAATTTGATAAATAAATGTTTGGAGTGATGAATGGTAATTTTTTCTTTTCTTTTTTTCTTCCATCAAGCAACATGAATTGATGAATTGATTTTATTATTTTTATTTGGTTTGATTTAAAATTTTTTTTTTTTAATTCCATTTATTCATAAAAACAAAGTGAAAGAGTCAGCCTAACAATAAATGCAGAGTTTAATTTAATTTTTATTTTATAATATTTATCATTAATTTCAATTTTAAAGATTAAATTATGTTAAAATTTTAATGTTTAATAATAATTTAATAATTGAATTAACAAACTAATATCTAGAAAGATTTTTAATTAGTTATTAATATGAATTTTTTAATTGTAATCTCAAAAAAACATTTGTTTTTTCATAATGTTTAAAATTTTAATAAAATTCAGACATAATTAATTTTATATTAAAATATTAAATAGTTGAACTAACAAATTAAAATCATTCTTGTTATTTATTTCAATAAAAACTACAGTTTACGAGAGCAACCTCCAGAAGACGTGGCACGATGCCAACTGGATCCCTCACCTGAACCACACAAACGTGCTGGCCTACTTCTCCGAGAGGACCAACCCCTTCTATGACAAACAGTGCAACAACGAAATCATAAAAATGCAACGCCTCAGTCCAGATAAACTTCAGTTAGATTTCTATTTAAATATTGTTAAATTTTATTATATTGATTCATATTTATAAAATTTAACATCTCACTCAACTTCACCACACACCACCCACTCAGGGAAATGACAGGCACCGAATACATCCTCTTACACCACCAGGAGCCGATCTTATACATCATCCGACAGCAGAATCGACAGTCTCCAACCATTTGTAATTATTTCACTTTTAATAACTTCATTAAAAATTAATTATTATTTCTTTGGTATTCTTGATTGTATTTTTCTACGTTTTTACAATATAAAAAAAAACACACACATACACACGCACTCTACCCAACCACATACGCACACACACACACTAACCAACCACGTACACACACACAGACTAACCACACATACATACAACAAACCACACCCATCCTCTTTCTACCACCACACAACAGCCATTCCAGTGGCAGATTTCTACATCATAGCGGGTATCGTCTACCAGGCTCCGGACCTCAGTACCGTCATCAATGCAAGAATTGTTCGTCATTAATCTCTTTTTTTTATGTTAATTTATTTAAATTATGTTATTACTGTTTAATTTATGTTAATTATTCAAATTATGTTATCATTGTTAATAATGTCGTTTATGTTGTTATTAAATTATTTTGTTATTTTATTTTCATATTTTATATTCATTCATCATGTTATTTAGTATTTTTTAATAATTTATTTATTTCAGTATTTACAATTGGCATTCATTCAATCAATCATTCATTCATTCATTCATTTGAACAGTTGAACGCCGTACACAGTCTCGGATCTGCTTTTGAAGAAAGTAAGAAATATTATTTTTATAATAATTATTATTATTTTATAATTATTATTGCATAATAAAATTAATTTGTTATTTCCCATTATATTTGTATACATGCATGGTAGTGCATTCATTCATCCATTCATTCACTGGTTGATGAGTGATTGAATGAATGAATGATAATTGTAATAGTTACATAACTATTTAGTTATCATTGCTAGTAGTCTTGGAGGCTTTAATTTACAAAGATTTCTCATAATTAATATTATGATGAAACATAATGCTGTAATAATAATAACGATGCTGATGATGATGGTGCTTATAAATGTCATAATTTTTATCATATCACCATCATCATCATTTAATATTATTATTATCATTATTCATCACATCATCTTCGACATCATTTATTATTATTATTATCATTACCCTTTACCCATCCACCCACCTTCCAGCTCAGAACTTCTCCAAGTACCATCCGTCTCGAGGTTACTGGTGGGAGTTCAAAGACAATAATTCTCAAGGTCAGACTTTTTTGTGTTCATCTTTCACTATTTGTTTTTTCTTTTATTTCTTTGCTACCATATTTAAAATTAAGGCTAATGATTTCTTTTTCATTTGTTATTCAGTTGATAAAAACAAGAAGAAAGAGAAGAAGCCAGCGAAGAACAACATAGGTACGTGTGTGCTTGTCTTAGTGTGTGTGCCTTTGTTTGCATGTGTTCATGCGTGTTTATACATGTGTGTGTGTGAATGTGTAAGTTTAAGTATACGCATTGATAAAGTTGTATAATTTGCGCGAATCGCCGATGCTGCATGTTGAATTTTTTTCAGGCACATTATTTCAACGGGAACGAGTGGACCTTCTCCTCCAAGACTTCTCACAGAGGTTCACCATCAAGAGGGCTCCTGAGAAAATCGGTTGGTTGGCTGTGATCGGTTGACCTGGTGTATCATTTGATGTGATGGGTTGTTTGTGTCTATTTAATTTTTTGATAGCCGCTAATTTTATAATGACAGCTGGTCCTTGCCGTGTTGCTGATGCAGTAGTAGGCTTCCGATTGTTCATATTTTAGTCCATTAATTGATATTATTCGGAAGTCACCAATCGCAAATGTTTCTGAGACATTTGCATTTTTATTCATTTGAAGATAAAATATAACCTTTTCTAATGTTTCATACTTTTCAGAGGAACCAATAAAAGGCGAGATGAAAATGGAGCCGGTGAAACAAGAACCAAGCATTAATCAATCAGCCGTCAATCAACCACCAATCGCCAACCAATCAGCATCGTCCGCGGCAGCATCATCATCATCGTCATCGATGATGATAATGATGATGAATGCTGATAGATTGAGCAACAAACCTAACGATAAAAGAATGAAGACGACGAGATGACGAGCCTGATTCATTGGCCAATTATTTAATTTATCATTAATTTTTTTAAATTTAACTTCAGTGGTATCAGTCAGTGCGTGTGTGTGTGTGTATGTGAGAGAGAGAGAGAGGAGAGAGAGAGAAATATCATGCTTTCGACGTGGTGGTTATTTGTTGTTTTGTTACGTTGTGAACTGACTAGCATTAACAACAATCACATTAAAATAATAAAAACAATGAAATAATAAGTCACCAACTCATACTTAAATAGATGATCGGCAGAGATTTCCAGCTATTTTTTCAATTGTAATCTCAAATCTCAATGTTAAATTACAATTTGACAAAATTTTTGTGTCGACGGACTGATATATTTCATTGAAAAAATAATTTAAAAATTGTGAAAATAACAGCAAAAATTGTTAAACCACGGAGAATTTTAGTAATGCGATGAAGTAAATTGATTATGCCACATGGCATACGTCTCAATTCATCATTACTACAAGCAGTGCACATTTCAAACCGTCGGAATTGAAACGCGTAAATAAATCTTAAAATGAAAAGGATAAAACGATTGTGCAATGGATGCTAGTGAGTGAGTGTAGTGAACCAGGCAACAATCACTCACCTAACATCCGTTTAAATTGTTGAAAATTTAAAGTAATAATTAATTGACAACTCGCAACATTGAATTAATGAACTAATTTCATGCTCGTAAAGAAGCATTTAAGTGAAAATGCACAGTGGCGGATCTAGACAACTTTAGCGAAGGGAAGGGGGCAAAACATTTCAAACGTTGATCGGGAAAGAGAAAAGGTTCCAATACGTCCCAAAATGTTGACCTACTACCGTTTTTAGCTGACCTTTTTTTTTCTTCTTACGTCATTTTTCGTCAAAAAGGAAATTTTTCGGTTAGACCCCCTGCCGGCTCCCTCAGATCCGCCACTGAAAATGCGAATTCGTATTTGATGATTTGTATAGAGCCTCTTTTAATAAGGACATCAAACTGGAAAAGAACGGTACGTGTTGTTAATGTGCACACACAAACATATGTAAATAATGTATAGATAATTATGATCCACAGCAAGCAAACAATCAATGATATTTGTTCACGCCGTCAAAGTTGATTGCACACTGAAGCAACTTGGCAGACAGCTGTTTGAGGCAATTCTGTGGCTCTATGACTTCTGGCAGGTCACGCAATAACAGAGTCCTCAACAAACTGTGCATGGATTTATATTCAAATGAATAAATTTGTTACATTAATTATGAAATGATCATTTTTTGCATGTTTTCTATATGTGATAGACTGTCTAAACTGTTCATATTTTGGAAGAATGTAAGCCATACTGAAAAGTGTTTGGATATTTGTATTTGTAGTACTCCATGCCACATAATAATATACACACACACACACATACATATAGAGGAAGCATATTACATGGCAGCTTCAACTCCATGAACCTCAGATGTTGTAAATAGAGAAGTCCAGAATCTGTAATGTCCCCACAACTGGTCAGCTCCAAGTGCTCAAGCGTGTGCTTCAATTTGTCAACTGCCAACATCAATGCCTCATCGGGGAGGTAGGGACAGTGGTGCAGTCTGATTCTTTTTATGTGGTTGCAGCCATCTTGGGGTTTCAACATAAAATTTTTATTTGAAAATTGATGCAGTATTACATTGTGGAAAATTTTCAATTTAAAAGAAGTCAAATTATCTCCTGAAACTATAAATACAACTAAAAAAACTTATAATCTAGCAGTCAACCAACCAAAATGTTCAAAACCAACAGCCATGATGCCAGCCTCATCAACATCAATCTCTTCAATGTGATAGGTCTTTTTGTTATCAGCACTTGGTAGTGTGTTGTAGTCAGTCTGCCATTTGGTACTGCCCTTCCATTTCACTGTGGCTCCATTTCTCAGCAGCCACTCAGCACAGGATCGATCTGGTCCCAACACCTTGATGCGCTCTCTGTCGGGCCTAATAAATAAGCACAATGCTACAATACAATGAATGTTATCAAAACGTTGTTATGCTGTCACCTGCCTACAAAGTTTTCATAGGGTGAGATGGGATTAGTAAGTTAATTTTAATAGGAGCTCTAAGAGACTTCTAAGACATTTTAGAAAAATAATATTTTTATTCTTTTTCTTAATCAGTAATAGTAATAGTAATGTAATGAAATGTAATCAGTTGCAAACTTGTTGGCAATGACAGACAGCAGACGAGTAAACTTTCTTGTTTCGTTCAGTTGGCAGTTAAATACGTTGACTAGCTTCCAGCCATCAGCAAATAATTTAGTCAAGGGCATACTCTTTCCACCTACCTGCCTTTCAGAAGTAAGAAAGGATTCGGTGCCAATTATACACACGTTAAAAAGCCAATTATACACACGTTAAAAAGAGATAAACGTAAAAGAGAGAGGGTACAGCATGCCTGCATGCATATGCGATATATGTTATATTATGTTATATATATACTGTTTAAGTAGCAGCTGACATGTATGCATGTTATTATAAGCTATATATATTATATTAAATACAACACTGGCAATATGTTCTTTTTTTTGTTTCGTTTAGCAACTTCAACCTGTTTGTATGAATATGAAACGATCCACAACGGCTCACTAACATGTTGTATAAATCTATCACTATCTGAAGCAAGTAGTTCTTTTCTTAATTTTATAATTTCATCAAAAACGTCATCTTTATCCTCATCGTCAACACTCAATGACTCAGATCTAGCATTAGCTAAAACGTCATTTGAGTGAATTTGCATCATTTTACCTTGATGCACTGTATTATCATCGGAGGCATTAATACAGTCTATTCGGACAAGTGACGGTAGCTTATTAGCCAGTTTTATTTATCTGTGATTTTTTTCTAAACCTCTCAATTGTCGTATTCCTTTTCCTACATGAAAATAGTACTTTATGTTTGTTAAAATTTTACAATTGACCAATGAATCAGACGGGCTGGGTGATTTGATTTGCAAATTTATTTATTTACAAACATACATACGTACGTACATACATACTCACACACGCACACACACATATATAAACATATATTGGTATGAATGAGAAAATTATAAACTGTAATCATTGGTTCGGGCATAATGCATGCAGAACCAATGGCACCGCTCTCATCTAACCTAATGATGAACTACGTTGTGCGATTGGCAGCAATAGAAAGAGCACACATACACGAGCGCACACCGCTTAAAATTCATTACTAAAAAACGTATATCGATGCTACTCAACTGAAAAAATAGCATAACCAAAAAAGCCCATTGAATAAAACGCACATATACATAAACGAACATTGTTGAATTTAAAGTCAATTAAATTTATCATTGAATTAATTGTTAAAGATATCATCGGGTTATTTTGTTAATTATTGACACATACAATACACACACAAACACAATACATACACAAACATAATACATACCCACGCATACACAGGCTAGAGGAACGTGTAATTTAATTTTTTTTGTTGATTTATTTATTCACAATAAAATAAAGTGAAAAAGTCAGCCTAGCAATAAATGCTTATCTAGGGTTGACGTGTTATAATGATTTTTATAATGAAATAAAAGCGATGATGGCAGACCAATAGTACCGACCACCATGTCTGCGAGTAAAATTTAATTTTGCCCAGCCATATCTTTCTGTTTCAGTCGCTGTGATACGACGCACAATGAAATGTGTTAGTTTTTCGGGTTTTGAACACCCTGGAAGGCAGTTTTTTTTAGTGGCTGATATATTGTTAGAAAGGTAATTTAATTCTACATAAGTGGTAGAAATCTTTTTTTGAGGCCGCAATTATGAATAGTGAAAAAAATTATTTTTGTGATTCGATGCACAATCAAATGTGTTAGTTTTTCGGGTTTTGAACATCCTGGAAGGCCTTTTTTTCAGAGGCTAATATATTGTTAGAAAGGTAATTTAATTCTACATGAGTGGTAAAAATCTTTTTTTGAGGCTGCAATTAATAATATTTTTAATCGATTTTTATGTTCATCTTACTGTCAATTTCATTATGTTGTTCAATACATCATACAATCATTGTTCATACATGCGTTACTAAAATATATAGAATACATACTTTTCATACATTTCAATGATCAGTTAAGGATTTATATAGCTATACAATTATTAGTAGCATATATGAACTTCTGCTGTGCATTAAGCAGATGGTCCTTTCTTTTTTCACAATTTCTCCGCGCACATAATATATAGGTCGGTCGTTGTGGCTGGTGGCTAAGTTCAGATTCATAGCCATTCTTATATATAATTCAATAGCTGCTACCTAAACAGCATATATCATATAACATAATATAACATATCGCATATGCATGCAGGCTTGCTGTACCCTCTCTCTTTTACGTTTTTCTTTTTTTAACGTGTGTATAATTGGCATCGAAGATTGCTTATAAAATTATAAAATTGTGGCTAAGTTCAGTCTCATAAATATTTTCACTAAATTAAATATAAATAAGAATCACAGTATGTTTGTTGATAACGAAATAACGCCACTGGTATCGGGTAGTGGTAATGGTGATACTGATAATGGTGCTCATGTTATGATTAACAATGCTGACCATGGAGACCAACTACTTACTAACCGAGAAATTTATGATGCTGGAGAAAGAAATTTGAAGATGAAATTATACTGGTACAGATGGTACTTACTAGCCGTGCTTGCCGTAGCAAATCTTTCAAACGGAATGGTAGGCTGAAATTTATTTTTATATATATTAACATGTTGATGTTGGGAAATTACCCATTGTGTGTGTATGTGCGGGTAGGGTGGTGTTTTTTTTGTAGTATTCTTGTTGCACAATAATCCAATAATAGAATAAGAGTTTCTTCACTTCACCACTCCAGTGGTGAAGTGAAGAAAGGATCGTGAAGTTGATATTAAAATTAAATAAGAAAGAAATATATTGTTTGATTAATTTTAAATAAATTAATCATTAATGATTTCCAGTATTTTACCCTTTCTTAGGCTTATTGATAAGTTTAAATATTTTCATTAAATTAAATTTAGTTTAGGTAATGTAAGTAAATTGTTAAAGTAAATGGTTTCCTAAATGAAAAAAAGTAATTTTCATCTATTGATATATGACATGACTTGATGAAATGAGTAATGGATTTACTACATCTGTTTCATAAAATATTTTGCTGATTTAATTAAGTAAAACAAAACATTTTTTTGAATATTTAATGTTTTATTATGACTGGGCTCTTTATATATAATTATATAGGTCAGTGCTATAAGGCGTGCGGAATCGAACGGCGAATACGCCGCTGAGATGCTATAAGGCGTGCAGGTCCGCACGGCGAACACGCCGTTGAGATGCTTAGGCGTGAGGAATCCGCACGGCGAATTGAACGTGTTAATGCTATAAAGCGTGAGGCCGCACGGCGAATTAGACGTTGGGATGCTATAATGCGTGCGAATGGCGGAGGTGAATACGACGCTTGAAATTATAAATCGTGAGGCACCCGCACATCGAATTCGACGTTTGAGATGCTACAAGGCGTGCGAATCACGAACGGGCGAACATGTTTGAAATCATAAATCTTGAGAAACCTGCACATCAAATTCGACTTTGAGATGCTATAAGGCGTGCGAATCACGAACCGGCAAAACCAGACGTACGTTTCGTCTCTCACGAGACTCGTCAGTAGCCTGCCGAATAAAGTTTAAGATAACACAACTCAATTATTGTAACCAAGAAACTCAAATTGAGGTGTCGCGACCAATAGGTAAGAACAACATCACGTTGTTACAAGGTTTAAGAACCCATTCATATATATATGTATATATATATATGTATATATATATAGGATTAGGACTGTCAGAAATGCAATTATTGATGAAAATCACAGCATGCTCGGCGTTAGTTAGCTTCCAATTTAACTTTATTATTTTTCTAACGGCTGGTCATAAATCATTTTCAACTTTCATTGTTGAATATTATCGGATGTCTTTGTTCTATAAGTATTGTTTAAGCTGGTCGTATATTTTAATGGTTGTCATTATAATGTAAGATTTCAACATTGTGGTCTAAGATTTGCCTAGTAATTTCAGTTTTGTGTTTTTCTTTCATGTGATTCTTATAGCGCCAGTTTGTACGTGCATCGTGAGTCTCTTGGTCGTCATCATACCAATATATTCAGAATTATGGTGCCCACATTTACCCGTATAACATTTGAACAAATATATTAGATGGCTATGCTCTATTATCGATTCTGGTTTACTAGTGCAGTCGTTTTTCATTACAAGAGATGACGTTCTTCGGTTGGAGTAGTATATTCGTAGTTTAATGTTATCGTTTTTGTTTGTTGCTTGGAGGTTATTTATGATCAATCCAGTAAATAAAAAATTGAATAAGGAATCAACAAAGTTGAGTAGATATATATATATATATATATATATATATATATATATATATATATATATATATATATATATATATATATATATATATATATAAGCGATTTGCCACTAGCTGATTGTCTGACTGACTGAGCAAGTCGACTATTTTCTTCCAATGTATATACAACATTTTATATACGAAATGGCGTCAAACGTTAGATTTTGTCATTATAAACACCATGACTTGTTCCACGGAGTGCTAAATTGGAAATTTTTTGGTTATCCAGTGTTTTCAGAGATATCGCGTTGAACCAAATTATAAAGCCGACTTATAAAGTTATTTTCTGTACATTGTTAAATGTATATGGTTGTATGGTCTATCGACGTCACAAAGTAGGCAAATCGCTTATATATAATTTTGTACAGCAGACCAGGTTTGACCAATTTTACATGAAATACCTCCGCAAGATACTAAAATGATAAAGAGATATGTTATAACTAGTTTTGAAGTCTTTATTTAGGCTCAGTTTGGTTGAGAGGGTAACGTCGTTTGTATGCCCGACTCAAGAATCCTAAGCGGCTAACGAAAGGAGTCCGCCTTGCGAATGGATCAGATATAAAGACAATCTTATAATCTTTCTTTTTTGATTTACGCATTCGTTGACTAACAATCATACTATTGCATCCGTCTGCTGTACAAAATATCATAAAACGTATGTATGATTATTGTGGCTTCAAATTACCTATATAATATATTAAATGTATAAAAACTTTTCATTAGATATTGAGATTTTTCTACTCGAATAAATTATATGTACGTAAAGCAATTTTTAAAACTGGCGATGTAAATTTAGTTTTAGAGCTAATTTTAGAATAAAATGCTATATCGTCAATTTGGATTTTACGATTTAGAAAATTTATTCAATTTTCCGTAAGTTTCTGATAGATAGACGCAACCGCTTCAAAA